CGACTTAAGCAATCAGCTGTTTGTTAAAACTGCATTCTGACATTTCTTTCTTTTATTTTTCTTTTGCAAAACAAATCGATTTACACGTGTTTTACGTTTTCTGTGCAGCAAATAAATCAGATAAAATCGTTATTTTATTCACATAATACTGAAAACTATGGTAAGTTCCTGTAAGTACGATTGTTTGCATGTGAATCTAATGTTTCATGCATTTTTTAGGGTAAGAAGAAAAGTGATGTTGACTTGCCCGGCTTTCCTTCCCTCGAAGATGATGCTGGTGTTGATAGTGGAAGTGCAAAGAATAAAAGCACCAACAAATCGAAGAAAAGTGGTGGCTTTCAATCAATGGGTCTTTCATTCGATGTAATTAAAGGTGTCAAAAAGCGAGGCTACAAAATACCTACACCAATTCAGCGAAAGGTAACCAGGAAGAACTTCGCGCCTTTGTATAAGCTCCTAACATAAGTTATTCTCATCTAGACTATACCTTTGATACTTGAAGGACGTGATGTAGTGGCTATGGCCAAAACTGGTTCTGGCAAAACCGCTTGCTTCTTAATACCCATGTTCGAAAAACTGAAGAGCCGTGAACCAACAAAGGGCGCGCGTGCATTAATTCTTTCTCCCACGAGAGAGTTNTGTGCAGAATACGTAGTGTTCGATGAAGCAGATCGATTGTTTGAGATGGGTTTCGGCGAGCAACTAAATGAAACTTTACATCGCCTACCCGCAGGAAGACAAACGGTCCTATTTTCGGCAACGCTTCCTAAATTATTGGTAAACTTTGCCCGTGCTGGCTTAAACGATCCAATTCTGCTGCGATTAGGTGTGAAGAGACATATACATATTTCCCATGGATATTGTTAGCTACACTAATGGATTTATTTACAGATGTGGAGTCTAAAATACCAGAGGGTTTAATGCTTAAATTCTTATATTGCCGTCCAGATGAACGTTATACTGCTTTGGTTGTGTTGCTCAAATACGTAATACCGGAAGATGCTCAAACTGTGGTTTTTGCAGGCACACAGCATCACGTCGAGTTGCTCTGTTATGTGAGTAATTCTGTAAAGTAAAGTGATACCAAATGAGTTGAATACCAATAGATTTTTTTTAAATTAGATTCTTACAAAATGTGGCATATCCAATACATCAGTGTATTCTAGTTTGGATCCTGCTGCACGTAAAATTAACACCGCAAAATTTGTAAACAAAAAGGTATCTGTGCTCACCGTAACTGATGTGGCGGCACGTGGTATTGATATACCAAGTTTGG